ACGCCGACGCCGACGCCGACGACGCCGACGACGACGACGCCGTCGACGATGACGACGGCGGCGACGACGACGTCGACGACGACGCCGACGACGACGACGACGACAGTGTCGACGACGACAGCGACGACGACGCCGACGAACACGATGAAGACGCCGACTCCGACGATGACGCCGACGCCGACGCCGACGACGACGAGGACGCCGACGTCGCCGACGCTGACGACGACGACGACGCCGACGACGACGACGCTGACGACGACCACGCCGACGACGACGATGAAGACGCCGACGCCGACGACGACGACGGCGCCGTTGCCGACGACGACATCGACGACGACGACGACACTGACGACGACGACGCCGACGACGACGACGGCGATGACGACGACGACTCCGACGACGACGACTACGACGACGCCGCCGACGACGACAGAGAAGACGGTGGACGCCGACGCCGACGCCGACGCCGGCGACGGACGACGCGCGACGGCGACGCCCACGAAGACGACGACGACAGCGACGACGGTCACGGCGCCGACGGACGACGACGGTGCCGTCGACGACGATGACGGCGACGACGACGACGCCGACAACCACAATGAAGACGCCGAGCGTCGACGACGACGACGACGCCGACGCTCACGGTGAAGACGCCGACGTCGCCGACGACGACGCGACAACGGCGACGACAACGGCGTCGACGACGACGCCGACGATGACGACGACGACGTCGTCGATGACGCCGACGACCACGATGAAAACGCCGACGCCGACGACGACTACGACGACGACGACGACGGTGCCGACGACGACGACGACGCCGAGGACGACGGCGACGCCGACGACGACGACGGCGACGACGACGACGACCACGACGTCGCCGACGACGACGACGGCGAAGACGTTGACGCCCAGGACCACGATGTAGTCACCGATGCCGAAGACGACGCCGACGCCGACGACGACGACGCCGACGACGACGCAGAGACGACGACGAGGACGCGACGACGACGACGACCGACGACGACGACGACGGACGACGACGCACGACTGACGCCGACGATGACGACGACGCCGACGCGTCGACGACGCCGACGCCGACGACACGACGCGGCGACGACGACGCCGACGACGACGACGACGCCAACGCCGACGACGGCGACGATGACGACGGCGACGACGACGACGCCGACGACCAGTATATGAAGACGCCGACGCCGACGACGATGACGACGCCGACGCCGACGACGACAATAGAGAAACCGACGACCACTATGAAGACGACGACGCCGACGACGACGACGACGACGCCGACGCCGACGACGCCGACGACGCCGACGACGACGCCGACCGCGACGCCGACGACGACGACGACGGCGCCGATGCCGTTGACGACGACGACACCGATGACGACGGTGACGACGCCGACGCCGATGACGACGCCGACGACGACGTCGACGACGACGACGCCGACGCCAACGATGCTCACGTCGCAGGCGATGACGCCGACAACCACGATGAGGGCGCCGTCGCCGACAACGATGGTCGACGACGACGACCCCGCCGACGACGACGACGACGACACCGACGACGACGACGCCGACGATGACGACGACGACGCCGAGGACGACGCCGACGACGACGACAACGCCGACGAAGACGTCGACGACGCCGACGCCGACGACGGCGCTGTCGCCGAAGACGACGACGCCGACGACGACGACGACGCCGACGTCGCCGGTGCCGACGACGACGACGCCGACGACGACGCCGATGACCAGGATTAAGACGCCGACGCCGACGACGACGACGTCGACGTCGTTGACGTTGACGCCGACGACGGCGACGACGCCGATGCCGTCCAGGACGACGACGCCGACGACGACGACGGCAACGACGATGACGACGTCGACGACGCCGCCGACGGCACCGACGACGACGACGCCGACAATGACGACGACGTCGCCGAGGACGACGCTAACGGCGCCGACGACGGCAACGACATCGACTCCGGCGACGACAACGACGACGTCGACGACGATTACGCCGCCGACGACGACGCCGACGCCGACGACGGCGACGACGTCGACGCCGACAATGACGACGACGACGCCGAGGACAACCCCGACGTCGGCGACGACGCCGACGAAGACGCCAACGACGCTGACGCCGACGCCGACGCCGACGCCGACGACGACGACGACGCCGACGACGACGATTACGACGACGCCGCCGACCACGACGACGCCGATGGCGACGACGCCGACGACGGCGACGCCGACGCCGCAGACGACGCCGACGCCGACGCCGACGCCAACGACGGCGACGTCGATGACGATGCCGACGGCGACTCCGACGACGACGGCGACGCCGACGATGACGATGTTGACGACGACGTCGACGACGACGACGTCGACGAAGGCGACGACGACGAAGATGACGACGATGCCGACGACGCCGCCGACGACGACGCCGCCCACGACGACGACGCCGACGACGACGCCGACGACGCCGAGGACGACGCCGACGCCCACGCCGACGATGACGACGACGCCGACGCCGACGACGCCGACGACCATGATGAAGTCGCCAACGCCGACGACGACGCCGACGCCGAGGACGACGACTCCGATGATGACGGCGACGACGCCAACGATGACGACGCCGACGCCGATGCCGACGGCGACGCCGACGACGACGCTGTCGACGACGACGACGACAACGCCGACGCCGACCACGACGGCGCCGACGCCGACGCCGACGAGGATGCCGACGACCACGTTGACGACGACGATGCCGCCAACCACGATGGGGGCGCATGCGCCGACGACGACAATGACGCCGGCGACGACGACAACGACGATGACGACGACGACGCCGCCGACGACGAAGACGTCGACGCCGACGACGACGACGCCGACAATGACGACGACGTCGCCGAGGACGACGCTAACGACGCCGACGACGACGCCGATGTAGATGCCGATGACGTCGACGCCGACGCCGACGACGACGCCGACGCGCCGACGACGACGACGACGCCGACGACGATGACGAGGACGGCGACGACGACGACGACAACGGCGACGACGTCGACGACGACGACGACGCCGACGACGACGACGCCGACGACGATGACGACGACGATGGCGACGACGACGAAGACGATGGCGATGCCGACGACGACGATGACGACAACGACGTCGACGACGACGACGCCGACGAGGGCGACGACGACGAAGACGACGACGCCGTCAACGGCCCCGCCGACGACGACTACGCCGACGACGACGCTGACGCCGAGGACGACGCCGACGCCGACGCCGCCGACGACGACGACGCCGACGCCGACGCCGACGACTACGCCGATGCCGACGACGTCGACGACGCTGCCATCGACGACGACGCCGACGACGACGGCGACGATGCCGACGCCGACGACGACGCCGACGCCGCTGACGTCGACGACGACGAAGACGCAGGCGACGACGACGACGCCGCCGACGACGCCGCCGACGACGACGCCGACGACGACGCCGAAGCCGACACTGAAGGCCCGACCCTTGCCCCCAGGAGCGGCTTTCCACCCCGAGCCGTGTTTTGATGGTCTCAGGGCCTTCCGAGAACGGCCCGAACCGCTCGCGGTGCTTTTTTCTCGAGGGGGGCGTGTCTCAGGATGCAGCCCGGCCCGACGCACCTTCGGGCCCGATGTCTGGCCTCCCCCGGCCTCCCGCGCGGCAGATCGCCGCGCAGTGTGGCTGCTGCCGCGGCCACTCCACAGCGGCGCCTGCCGCGCGGGTCGTCGCGATGCTTTCTAGACGGGCCCCCGACCCAGACCCCCCGACGTCATGATTTTTTTTATGACGTCGACCCCTGGAGGTCTAGCCCATTCCCAAGGACGTCAGTCTTTCACATCCCGAGTCGTTTCTTGACGATGCCGAGGCCCGGCAAGGGCCCCTGGTTGCCGAAAGTCGCAAGGAGCCTCCCGTCGTGTTTTTTTTGTTTGTCACGACTCGAAGGGGTCTGGGGACTAGAGTCAGGTCGGGCATGCCCTCCTACAGGCGGATTTTGGACTAAAAAGTACACGTCGTCAAAACATATCCCTCCAATACTCAGAAATAGTCCGAACTCGTCCCCAGCCTGCTCTTTGATTACTATTTTCGAAGATTCCTCCGGTAGGGGGACAGGCCCGACTTTCGACCAGAGGTCGAGGGCTGGCGGGCTGGCCAGCTCGATCTGGTCCGGCCCGGTGCCGGCCGGCCCCACGCAGGCGCTGCCGCAGGCGCTGCCCCCGGGGACGCCCGCGCCCTGGCGCGGCGCCGCCGCTGGGGCCGCGCCGCAGGTGCCTGGGCCTGTTGTCCACCACCACCACCACCACCACCACCACAGGCTGGAGGGGGGAGGGAGGTGGTGGAGGAGGAGGAGGAGGAAGAGTAGGGGAACGAAAAGTGGCATACACATAAAAACTCGGAGGTCCGCACGGATTTCTCGGATCGGCGCTGGACCCCCCTCCCTGGCGCGCGGAGCGCGGAGGCGCCGCCAGGGGGGTCCCAGCGCCGATCCGAGAAATCCGCGCGGACCTCCGAGTTTGTATGTTTATGCCACTTTTTGTTCCCCTAGGAGCACACACACACACCCTCTGCGGGAGCCCGATCCGTGCCTCTCCAGGACGAGCAGCGGTGTGGGCCCCTTTCTGTTTATGCCACTTTTTGTTGCCCCGAAGAGGGGGAGGAGTACCCCTTCCCCCCTCCAGCTTGTGGTGGTTTCGACTAGACGTAAGAGTGACCTTTCGCCGGAGTGACCTTTGGTGCGGGCCAAATGGGTTCCCCCGGTCGCCAAACGCGATGCGATAGTAGCGTCTTGCGCGCTTGTGTTTGGTCCCCCCGCGGTCCCCAAAAGCCGCGCACCAAAGGTCACTCTTGCCCAGGGTCACTCTTGCGTGTAGTCGATGGTTGGTGGTGGGAGACGGGCCCCTCCGCAGGAGCTGCCCGCCGTGCTGCCCCACCAGAGCTGGCCGCCGGCGGCCGGGGGCGCCGCCATAGGCGAAGAGGAGCATGCTGGCCGGCGTGGGCCCCGAGGAGGAGGAGGAGGGGGAGGAGGAGGAGGAGGAGGAGGAGGAGGAGGAGGAGGAGGAGGGGTCCACGCTGGCCAGCGTGTCGTCTCCACGGCGCAGCGATGACTGGTGCGGTTTCGAGAGCTGGTGCCTCCAGCTTCGGGGGCGGCAAAGAGGGGGGTGATGACTAGGGGGGGGTGGATATCATGGCGGGGGCCATGATATTTCCCCAGATTTCATGGCGCCTCTCCTTATTCCATTACGTCCCTGGCCCCCCCGCAGGGCCGCGCACATGCCGCCGGTCATGATTTGCACCCCCCCCTTTTGGACACCCCCCTCTTGGCCGCTCCCGACAGCTCTCGCGCTCCATCGGCTTCGACGCGATGCCGCAAACGATCAGCACGAGCGAAAGGGGTACAATGCCCAACAGCAGCTCCTGCTCATTTTGAACAGGACTCGCTGTCCGCGCCGCCGGTGCCTGTGTCCATTCGAGACAGAAGGCCGCCTGCCCAACAGCGGCCGCTGTTGGTTTGGGACAACATTCGTTGTTGGGCAATGTACCCATTTCTTCCGTACCCATTTCGGGCGTCCAAAAACGAGAACACGTTGGCTGCCGTTGGGGGCCGATGTGTCACGTTGACCGCGCGCGGCCAGGGGTGCCGACGGTCTCAAGTCGGGCATGTGTCCCTCTACCTACAGGCGGAAGATTCCAAGATAGTCAATCAAAATACTCTGCGGACGATTTGTTTGGGCATTTTATGACTAGTCTTCATTTGTCGTCCAGAATCCGCCTGTTGGAGGACATGCCCGACCTGACGACAGTTGAAGAAGAACATGTTGGCGAGCGTGGGCCCCGAAGAGTAAGTTGTTGCACCGTGGATGTGTAAGCTCTGTGGTGCGAACTGTTTCGTGTCTGGAGCCAGCTGGGGGTCTGAGGTGGCGCAGAACTCTGGTTCAGGCCAGCAGAAAGGGGGTGCAGGCTCGAGGTTCTGGGTTCGAGTGCGTTTTCTGCTTTTTGCAGCCTCAGGGGGCCGTTTTCGGGCTCCGTGACCGCCAGGAACGGATACTGGGCGAAACCCTGCGCCAGGTGGACCCTTGGAAGGATCTGGGGATCGATTCGGAGCGGATTTCGCTCCATAGTCCCTCCTGACAGATCCCCCCAGCGGCCTCCTAATGTTAATAGCCAGCACGGACTGCAGACAGTAAGCTGTTGCACTGTGGAGTTGTAAAACCATCAGGATGCAAGCTATGTGGTGTAAGCTATGTGGTGCAGTTGATTTTAGCAAACGAGTTGACACATCCCGCGCTCTTGCAAACATCCCACCCACCCACCCGCAACTTGGTTTGCAAAACCCACGACGACGATGACGACGCCGACAACGACGACACCGACGACGACGACGACGACGTCAACGACGCCGACGACAACAACGACGACGACGACGACGGCGGCGGCGACGGCTATGTGGTGCAGTATACATGATGCAAGCTAGAAGCGGCAGCGAGGCGGCCACGGGTGGCAACATGGCGAGACCTCGCCGGACCCACCCAGCGCATAAGGCGGCCACGAGGCGGCCACGGGCGGAGCCTGAAAAATCGTTGCTGGACTCAGCCAGTTCCCTGGCGCCGTCGGTAAGAGTCCCTAAGTTCGGAGACTGATAGACCTCCTACCCTGACACGTCGATTAGTGAATTGGCCGTTTTCGGTTCGCGAGAGGGCGTCGCGGCCGTCATTTTTGCGCGTCCAGGTCCGTCGGTTTCGGTCCTGGGCCGTTTTCACTAAGGGGAGGTCTACTAAATGGAGGTTTGTCCATCGCCGAAGGCACTGATTGGGGGACGCGCAGCCAAAGCGCTGAAGGAAGGGCTCGGGAGGGGCTCTGGTTGTCGCGCCGTTCCTTGGATTGGGGTTGGAGTGCCTCTTCGTGGCCGATGCTCGCCGTGGCCAGAACAAGAATGCCCTGGTTGCTCATACTATGGCAGTCCTTATGCTTAAGTCGGGCATGTCCCTCCACAGGAGGAGATTCAAGAATAGTCCAGAAATAGTCTGGTGGCGATGTTTCGACGATTTTTGGACTATTCTTGACAATTTTTCGACTCTTTCGAGTTTTCCTTCCAAAATCCGCCTGCAGGAGGACGTGCCCGACCTAATCTTATGGTAGTGCGATGACTGTGAACATGCACTGTTGGAGGTCCGCGCGGATTTCTTGGATCTGCGCTGGACACACCTGGCGGCGCCTCCGGCGCCGCCCCTGGCGCGCTGCGCGCGCCATGGGGCGAGGGGCCAGCGCCGAGCCTGGAATGCTGCGCGGGCCTCCGGGAGTCCCTGCCTGTGCACCCTGCTCGTCTTCTGGACGGGGTGGGACCCCGTCGTCCCCGCGTCGTGGAAAAATGCCGGCGGGAAGCTTCGGGCCACGCGGTGAACAGAAGTGACGACGCCGGGTGTCTGGCTCAGGAGGAGGAGGAGGAGGAGGAGGAGGAGGAGGAGGAGGAGGAGGAGGAGGAGGAGGAGAGGAGGACGAGGAGGACGAGGAGGAGGGCACGAGGAGGAGGGAGGAGGAGGAGGAGGAGGAGGAGGAGGAGGAGGAGGAGGACGAGGAGGACGAGGAGGACGAGGAGGAGGGCACGAGGAGGAGGAGGAGGACGAGGAGGAGGAGAACGAGGAGGACGAGGAGGAGGACGAGGAGGAGTGGCCGCCCCATCGTTGGGAAGCGTTGGCCCCAGTCGTCTATGCCTCGCCGATCTGGGCCCAGGTGCCCTGGCATGCCCAGGAGCACGGGGCTTCCCCCTCGGGGGCCCCTCGCAGTTCTGCTGCGAAGGCCTCGCGGCTGGCGCCGCCGACCCTGCATGGGGAACGACGACAGCGGCGGCGGCGGCGACGCCGCCTTGGTGCTTCTTGGGGCCCATCGCAGTGGTATTCCGAAGAATACGGACGTGCTCTTGCGGAGGCCCGCGCGGATCTCTCGGATCGGCGCTGGCCCCCCCCCCGTTGGTGGCGCCTCTGGCGCGCGGCCCCGCGCTCGCTCTGCGCGGCAGGGGGAGGGGCCGGCGACGGCCCATGCACTCCGCGGAGGGCCCCCGAAGGCTCGTGCGCGATGCTGCTGCTTCTTGTTGTGCTATTGGCGATGTGTCGCCGATCTCAGTTGAGCGACGTAGAAAAACGGCGTCGTTTTCACCGACGCCGGCGCGTAAGCGGCCCGGTAGGGTCGTGCGTCAGCGCCGTCGTTTCCCATGCTGCGTGCCGCGCTGGCGGTCTGCGTAAGCCACCGCCTGAGGTCGCCTGCGAAGCCCCCTTTCGTTTCGTCGCTCACGGCACTTTCCCCTTCTTTGGCTGGTCCCCCCGTTTCGGCCCTTCCCAGGCGGGAGGCGGAACCGTTCCCAGCGCCGGCGCCCCGCAACACCAGGGCTGGCCGGCGGGGGGCGGCTTCGGCGCGGGTGTCCAGGCCCTGCAGAACAAGTTCAGCATCCCGGAGTACCGCGTCAGGCTCGCCATGACTTGGGGGCCCCAAAAGGATGTGGTGACCATACTGTGTGATAAGTCCGTGGGGATTCGGTGTCACCGCGCGGTTTTGGGGCTCGGGTCGTTCTCCAAGGACGTCTCGGGCGACCAGGGCCTCCAGGGTCCCAAAACCGTGCGGTGACGGACCGCGCGGTGAGGTCGTTGGGGATTCCGAGGTCACCTCGCGGTCCGTCACCACACTGTTTTTGGGTGCCCTCGACCTCCCATTTCCGCACCTTCCGCACGGTAGGTGCCGCCGTTGCGGCCGCAGCGGCCGCTGCGCGGCGTCTGCCGCGCGGAGGACGCGGAAGGCGGAGGTCGGGAAGGAGAGGGGCCCTGAGGGAAACGGGTCCCATATGTGTTTGACTGTCTTTGGGGTTCTGGGGCCCTCTCCGGGCCTGGGGACCGCAACAAACACGGCTCAGGACGAAACGCTGGCCATTGGGGGCAGCCCTGGGGTCCAGGACCTCTTTTCCTCAAGACCCGTTTCCTTCATGCCAGTGAGGCTGGTCGCCATCTACTCCGTGTACAAGCAGGAGAACCTGCAGAAGGTGGACCACCTGCTGCAGAAGTACGTCGGGCAGGAGGACTTCCTCTATGCAGCAGGCTTTTCGCCGTTCGGCCGGCGCCCGGAAGGTAGATGGGCGACTGCACCACTGACGGGTTGCTCGAGCGAGGTGATGCGCAGTGGGACGACGAAGAGCGACGTGATTCCCAGGAGGGCAGGGAAGCAGGAAAATCTGGGTATCAATGATCTCAGACAGATTCATTCGCTCGGTCTGGGCCAAGGCGATTTTTTTTGGTTCGTAGCGACGGCGGCACTCGAGCAGGGTCGTGGTGCGTGGAGGCTTTCACGCGCCGCGGTTCGATTGGAAGCACCCGTCTGCTAATCGTAGCTGGGACGTCCATCAGCGATCCAGTTTCTTCCGTTACAGCGGAGGTGCTTGCCTTGGAGGAGGCGGCGCGGATTGAGGAGGAATTCGCTTGTAAGATCTGCAACTGGCCATCAGTGAGCTGATCTAGGGCTGGCGAAAGAAGAAAAACATAATTTCACGCAGACAAAAATGATCAACATGAATCCATACATCCATGCAAAACTACAGTAACAACTAAATATACACATACATACATAAAACACATAACTGAACACATACAGAAATCAAAACACTACAATACACAACTAACTAACACATACACGAGTCAATACGTAAAGACACGAACACAACAACTAGTAATGACATCAAGCGACACACAAATACATAACTACATACATGACGAACAAACATAAAGAAATTACGCATGTGCAAGAACAGGTAGGGTGTTTAAGAATTCATGTGACTGTTTCCTGGGACATCTTGGGTCTCTTGGGGGCCTCTCTTCGGGTATGCTGTACTATATTCTTGACGCTTCGCGTATCCCCATCAGCCCATCCATAAGCGACGCCCAGGTGAGTTGAGACGATCAGGGAGGTGTAGGAGCAAAGAGGGGGACAGTTGTCATCGCTCGAGTTGTCTTGGCGCCTCGGGGAGCCTCTTCGGCCCTCTTGGGAGTCTCCTGGGAGACTCTTGGGTGCCTCTCGGGCGCCTCTTGGGGCCTCCTGGGCACCTCTTGGGGCCTTGTTAAGGCGCTCTTGGGAGCCTTAGGGGCGCTCTTGATGTCATCTTGGAGGAGATCGATCAAAGAAGTGGAGAGCTTCAATCAGGCCCCCCCCCTTCGGGAGCGCCTAAGATTGCCTCTTGGGCCGCTCTTGGGGCGCTTTTAGAGCGCCCTTGGGCGCTCTTGGGGCCGCCTTGGGGCTCTATTGGGCCTCTCTTGGGACCCTTTGGGGCCCTCTTGGAGCCATCTTGAGGCCTCGGAGGGCCATCGAAAGCAAAAAGGCGAGAAGGCATCGTTCATTGATTTTCTTTTTTGGTTTTTGACAAATTTTTGCCTCTTGGCGGCCTCCTGTGGAGGTTCCGTGGCCACTTGGAACCGTCTTGGAGCGGTTTTGGGGCCTTTTGGAGCATCTTGGAAACCATCTTGAGCCATCTTGGACCATCCTGAGCCATCTTGGAGGTCATCTTGGGCTCTCTGAGGCCCTCTTGGAGCCATCTTGGGCCATTTCGGTCGCTCCGCCCCCTCGCGAAACGCCCCCTCCAGGTCCAGATGAGGGGCCAAGGGGGAGGGTAAACCCCTCCCCGAAGGGGAAAGAGGGATGAGGTGGAAGAGGAAACGCTCTAAACAACCTGCGCCCAGAGGGCTGGTGGGATTGGGTGCGCTTTGTGGAATCCAAGAAGCAGCCGGGTGATGTGGAGGCGAATGAGGAAGAGTGGAGCTGATGTTGACGATTCTGTTGTTGTTGGTGGTGTTGCTGGTGGTGCTGACGACGACTATGATGATGATGCTGCGGAGCAGGAGGAGGAGGAGGACATGAAGAGGAGGAGGAGGACATGAAGAGGAGGAGGAGGAGGAGGAGCAGGAGGAGGAGGAGGAGGAGGAGGAGGAGGAGGAGGTAGAGGACAACAATCGCCGCAGTAGGTGTAATTGAGGTGAGTGACGGTGAGAGCATGCGACCAGAATGTCCAACATCTTGAGCTATTCCGTTCTGGTATGGTCAACGGCGGGAGGTAGCTGCTGAGCCCGCGGGGCAGGAACCACTGTTGGCGGTCCCCGCTCGAGAAGTTTGCCCGCCAAGGAGGCATATTCCTGGGGTCCGGGGGCCTCCTGGGAGCTCCAGGGTTAGAAAGTCCAGGGTTCGCTGGGGACCAGCTTCCTTTCAGAACGGCCGAAACCCTCCCGAAAGCCTCCGAAAAGCCTCCGGGTAGGGTTCCTGGATGCTCTTCGGAGAGTTTCGGGAGGGTTTTGGAAGGGTTTCGGGTGTTTTCTGGGGAAACCAGTCCCTAGCGAACCCTGGGTTTTCTAACTCCATGGGCCTCTTGGGAGGCTCTCTTGGGGCTTTCAATGGCACCCTTGGAGCCATCTTGGCATTCCTTCGGGGGTCTCAGGGCCGTTTGGAAGGGTCTTGGGGCCGTGCGTGGCCGTCTTTGGGCCGTCTTTGGGCCGTCTTGGGGCGGCCTTTGGGCGCATTGAAGCCGTTTTAGGGTCATCCTGCTCCTCCTCCCCTTCGAATCCTCTGGCCTGCGGCCGGCTCAGGGAGGGGAAGTCCGTTGCGTTCCCCGCGGCGGCTTCACGCCGGACACGATAGCTTGCACCGTTAGTTCTGTTGCTCGCATGGGGGGGGGCAGGATTGGTCCGCCCCAGCCGGTGCCGGCAGCCAGCCTCGGCACTGTTCACGGCCTGCTCCCTCGAGTGTGTCGCGGAATGCCCCCCCGAGGGCGTGTAACGGTTTCCACAACAAAAAAAGTTAGGGTCATCCTCCTTGGAGTCCAGCTGGGGACCTCTGGGGTCATTCGGGGCAATCTTGGGGGCATCTCGGGCTGTCTGGGAGCCTTTGGAGGCCTCGTGGAGCCTCTCGGAGGCGGCTGAAAGCCACAAAGCGAGAAGTCGCAAAATAACCACTTATTGCTCAACACTGTCCAGTGTTTGGGCTCCCTTGCGACCTCTTTGCGCTTTCTCAGGGTCTCCTGGTGTCTTCTTGGGTTCTCTTTGAGACCTCTTGGGCGTGTCTTGGGCCTTCTTGGGCCGTCCTGGAGAGCATCTTGGAACTGCTGGATGCGCGGGAGGGTGGACGTGAGGGCTCGGAGGGTCCAGGAAGCGCGTCGATGAGCCCCTCAAGCTGGATCCCGCACGCCCAGGGGGGGGGGGCGGGGGGGGGTGGGGGGCCGAACGTTTTTTTTTTTTTTTTTTTTTTTTTTTTTTTTTTTTTTTTTTTTTTTTTTTTTTTGTTTTATATTTATCCATGTATCTATATGTATATGTATGTATGTCTAATCGTGCCTTTCTGGCCAGCGGCGACGGGAGGCGCTCCTGCGGCGGCCGAACGCTTCATTTTTTCCCCAACTATGCTGTTGCGTTGGGCCATCGTTTTGAAGAGACAGTGCCCCGCGTCCCTCTCCTCTCCTCTCCTCCTCCTCCTCTCTCCTCCTCCACCTCCTCCTTCCTCCTCCTCCTCCTCCTCCTCCTCCTCCTCTCCTCCTCCATCCTCCCCTCCTCCTCTCCCCCCCCCCTCCCCCCCTCCCCCTCCCCCTCCTCCCCCTCCCCCTCCTCCTCCTCCTCCTCCTCCTCCTCCTCCTCCTCCTCCTCCTCCTCTTCATGTCCTCCTCCTCCTCTCCTTTTTCCTCCTCCCCCTCCCCCTCCCCTTCCCCTCCTCCCTCCTCCTCCTCCTCGCCTCCTCCTCCTCTCCTCTCCGCCTCCTCCTCCTCTCCTCCTCCTCCTCTTCCCCCCCTCATCCCTCCTCCCACCCCTGTTTCTGCTTTACATACTTCGCCGCTACGAAAGTTTGGCCAACATTCAACGCCTCCCGTTAGGCGACGGGGCCCCAGTACAACGTGGGCAGTGGGCCCGTTAGGCCGCGGGGCCCCAGTACAATGTTCGGTTGGTGCATGTTTCGCTCCAGTCTCGGGCGGCACCGCCCTTTCGAAATCGAGCCCGCGGGTTTCGAAATCCAGTCGAGCTCGTTTTGGGGAGGAAGTCCTAGGCGAAAGCCACATTTCGAAATCGAGCCCGAGGGTTTCGAAATCCAGTCGAGCTCGTTTTGGGGAGGAAGTCCCAAGCGAAAGCTGCATTTTCGAGTTTTCTGGTCAGGGCTTTAAAACATTTAAATGCCAAACGGTGTGGCCATTTCGAAACGGCGGTTTCGCTTGATACTTCCCCGAAAAAGCGATTTCGAACGATTTCGAAACTTTCGGGTTCAATTTCGAAATGGCGCTCCCGCCTAGGACTTCCCCAAACATAGATTTCGAAACCTTTCTGCTTCGATTTCGAAATGGCGCTCCCGCACAGGACTTCCTCAAACATAGAAGTCGCAACGTTTCTGCCTCGATTTCGAAATGGCGCGCCCGCACAGGACTTCCTGCAAAATGAGGTTCGGCATTTGTTCCGTTCGAATTCGAAATGGCGCTCCCGCCCAGCACTTCCTCCAAAACAGAATTCGAAATGGCGCTCCCAGGACTTCCTCCAAAACAGAATTCGAAACCTTCGGGTTCGATTTCGAAATGGCGCTTCCGCCCAGGACTTCCTCAATAAAGACTACGATCAGAACCGCGACCACGACCGCGACCACTAACGACGGCGACGACGATGACGACGACGACGACGAGTGATGCTCACGGCCGTCGTGGTGTTCACAACCAATGTGATGTTCAGGCGTTGTTGAGCTGAAAACACAAAACGGGTCAAAACTTTCGTAGCGCCGATGTATGCCTTCATCATCATCATCATCATCATCATCATCATCATCATCATCATCATCATCATCATCATCATCATCATCATCATCATTCTCATTCTCATTCTCATTCTCATTATCATTATCATTAACAGTATCATTATCATGATCATTATCATTATCATTATTATTATCATTATCATTATCATTATCATTATCATTATCATTATCATTATCATTCTCATTCTCATTCTCATTATCTCATTCTCATTCTCACATTCTCATTCTCATTCTCATTCTCATTCTCATTCTCATTCTCATTCTCATTCTCATTCTCATTCTCATTCTCATTCTCATTCTCATTCTCATTCTCATTCTCATTCTCATTCTCATTCTCATTCTCATTCTCATTCTCATTCTCATTCTCATTCTCATTCTCATTCTCATTCTCATTCTCATTCTCATTCTCATTCTCATTCTCATTCTCATTCCCATTCTCATTCTCATTCTCATTATCATTATCATGATCATTATCATTATCAGTTCCATCATCATCATCATTATCATCATCATCATCACCATCATCATCATCATCACCATCATCGTCATCGTCATCGTCATCATCGTCATCACCATCATCATGATCATCATGATCATCATCATGATCATCATCATCATCATCATCATCATCATCATCATCATCATCATCATCATCATCATCATCATCATCACAATCATCATCATCATCATCATCATTATTATCATCGTCATCATCAGGTGCACCCGCGCACGATTCGGTACACCCCTCACACGTGTCGTGGCCCAATAGGGAGCTCCACAGGACGCCCCAGCGGCAGGGTCCGCATGGCGCACCGGTCCCGATTCGGCACACCCCTCACACGTTTCGTGGCCCCGAAGGGAGCTCCACCGCAGGCCCCAGCGGCAGGGTCCGCATGGCGTACTCGCACCCGCTTCAACACACCCCTCACACGTGTCGTGGCCCCGTAGGGGGCTCCACCGAAGGCTCCAGGGGCAGGGTCCGCATGGCGTACCCGCATCCGATTCAGCACACCGCTCACACGTTTCCTGGCCCCGAAGGGAACTCCTTCAAAGGCCCCAGCGGCAGGGTCCGCATGGCGTACCCGCATCCGATTTAGGCACCCCTCACTCGTTTCGTGGCCCCGAAGGGAGCTCCACCGAAGGCTCCAGGGGCAGGGTCCGCATGGCGTACCCGCATCCGATTCGGCACACCCCTCACACGTTTCTTGGCCCCGAAGGGTGGTCCACCGAAGGGCGCAGCGGCAGGGTCCGCATGGCGTACCCGCATCCGATTCAGCACACCCTTCACGCGTTTCGTGGCCCCGAAGGCAGCCCTACCGCAGGCCCCATCGGCAGGGTCTGCATGGCGTACCCGCACCCAATTCGGCACACCCTTCACACGTTTCGTGGCCCCGAAGGGAGCTCCACCGAAGGCTCCAGGGGCAGGGTCCGCATGGCGTACCCGCATTCGATTCGGCACACCCCTCGCACGTTTCCTGGCCCCATAGGGAGCTCCACCGAGGGCTCCAGCAGCAGGTTCCGCATGGCGTACCCGCATCCGATTCAGCATACCCCTCACACGTTCCTTGGCGCCGATGCGTGGTCCTCCGAAGGCTCCAGCGGCAGGGTCCGCATGGCGCACGCGTATCTGATCCAGCACCCCCCTCACACGCTTACTGGCCCCGAAGGGTTGTCCACAGCAGGCCCCAGCGGCAGGGTCCGCATGGCGTACCCGCATCCGATCCGGCACACCCCTCACACGTGTCGTGGCCCCGTAGAGGGGCTCCACCGCAGGCCCCAGCGGCAGGGTCTGCATGGCGTACTCGCACTCGACTCGGCACACCCCTCACACGTTTCGTGACCCCATAGGGAGTTCCACTCAAGGCCCCAGCGGCAGGGTCCGCATGGCGTCCCCGCCCGCATCCGATTCGGCACACCACTCACATGTTTCGTGGCCCCATGGGGAGCTCCTCCGAAGGCCCCAGCGGCAGGTTCCGCATGTCGTACCCGCATCCGATTCAGCACACCCCTCACACGTTTCGTGGCTCCGTAGGGAGCTCCATCCAAGGCCCCAGCGGCAGGGTCCGCATGGCGTACCCGTATCCGATTCGGCTCTCCCCTCACATCTGTCGTGGCCCCACGGGGAGCTCCATCCAAGGCCCGAGTGGCCTGGTCCGCGCGCAGCCGCCCCATGTTGCCACACCCCATCACTCCTCCCCCCCCTGCTTCTTCTTCTCACTTGCCTCGCGGTGCCCGCAGCTTCATATGGCTGAGCCCTTCGCCAGGATAATTTTGCTGGTCAGCGGCGGGCGGGAGCCCCTGCTCCCGCCGCGCGGCGCTGCGTGCGCGGGCCTGCCGCGTAAGCTGGCGGACGCGCCTTGTGGTTGCGTGCGCTCCTCCTCCTCCTCCTCCTCCTCCTCCTCCTCCTCCTCCTCCTCCTCCTCCTCCTCCTCCTCTTCCTCTCTCGGCGCACTGGCCTTCTCACCCCCCTGCGCCGCGGGGGTCTAGCGGACCAGACCGCCTGCTCCAAGTACGGGGTCGACCCGGACTTCGACCCCAGCGTCCCCCTGGCGGCCAGCCCGCAGCAGCTGGCGAGCGCGCTGCCGCAGCCCACGGGCGGCTTCCAGCAGCCGCTGCAGCCGCTGCAGCCGCTGCAGCCGCTGCAGCCGCTGCAGCCGCTGCAGCCGCTGCCGCAGCTGCAGCCGCCCCCTCCACAGCAGCCGCAGCTGCGGCCGCAGCTGCGCCCGTCGGCTCCGCGGGTGAAGGGGCCGCCGCAGCGGCCGCCGCAGCACGCCAGGATGCAGGCGATGGAGTGGGACCCCGCCGCGGGGCAGATGGTGGCCACCACCGTGGAGGTGGAGCCGTGGCTGATGGACGATGCGCAGGCCAGCGCGGCCGCGCAGCCGCAGCCGCCGGAGCCGCAGCCGTGGGCGCCTCAGGGGCAGCAGCACCGCCCCGCCGAGAACCAGGCGGTGGAGGAGTGGGACCCCGCCACCGGCCAGATGGTCATCAAGGGAGGAAAGACCACCTGGACCCGATAACTGGCGTTTCCTGAACGGCCCTGGGCGTTTGCTCAACTGCCCTGCCCCGTTCGATTCCCTCTGCGGGTGCGTCTACTGACAAACGGCCTCGCGTGTCGGGGTGGTTCTGATGGGGGGTGGACTTTCGGCCCTCTATAGGTCACCAAGTCCATGGAGATCGAGCCCTGGCTGATGGAGGAGCTCGGCATCGGCGCCGGCGCCGCGCGGCCCGGCGGCCACCTCGCCCCCGCCGCGGCACCCGCGCCGGGCACGGCGCCGCCCGCGCGGGCCCCGGCGGGCGGCGCCCTGGCCGGTGCGGCGGCAGAGGTGCCGGGCGCGGCGCCCATGGACGACGACGACGACTACGACCCGTTCAGCACGTCTCCTGAGGCCACCGGCGGCGCGCGCGGGCGGGCGGGCCACGGCCTGGGAGGGCCTCCGGTCCTTGCCGCCCTTCCTGCGGGGGCACGGCGTCTTCGGCTCCCTTTTTTGTCTCTTTCTCTGTCTCTCTCTCTCTCTCTCTCTCTTTCTCGCTATCGAGAGAGGGATCGCGGGTACCATGGGCTCCCCCAGTGGGGCAGGGAACACTGCTACGCCAGTTGTGACCGGTCGGACCTGAGGGACATTGGGGCGGCCTTCTGAGGAGGAGCAAGAGGATTATCTCGAGTGATGATGATGATGGTGATGGTGGTGGTGGTAGTGGTTGTTGTGGTGGTGATGATGATGATACTGATGATGGTGGTGATGATGATACTGCTGATTACGACGAAGATGACAATGATGATGATGATGGTGGTGATGATGATGCTGATTTGTTGATGGTAATGATGCTGACGATGATGATGCTGATGATGACGATGATGATGACGATGAGTATGATGATGCTGATGATGATGGTGATCATGATGATCATTATGATGCTGAGGTGGTGGTGATGGTGCTGCTGATGATGCTGCTGCTGATGATGATGCTGATGCCTATGCTGCTTCTGATGATGAACATGCTGCTGCTGATGATGATGGTGGTGGTGATGCTGCTGCTGCTCTTGATGTTGATGGTGGTGGTGGCGGTGATGATGATGATGATGATGATGATGCTGCTGATGATGATGATGATGATGATGATGATGCTGCTGCTGCTGATGCTGCTGATGATGATGATGATGCGGATTATGACGATGAGGATTGCGATTTTGATGATGCTGATGCTACTGATGGTGATGCTGATGTTGATGTTGTTTATGCTTATGTTGATGTTGTTGTTGACGACACCGTGTTTCAGAGGCCCCCCTGGGGGATGGGGGGGGGGCGCACCGCACCGCGCGCACCGTACCGGGCGCACCGCACTGCGCGCACCGCAGCGCACCGCAACGCGGGGAATCCTTAGGTATCCGAAGGAATCCCTAGGGAATCCTTAAAAATCACTAGGGAATCCCTGGGACGTCCTACGGAATCCTTCGGAATCCCTAGGGAACCGTTCGGAATCCCTAGGGAATCTGGAGGAATCCTTGGGGAACCCTACGGGATCCAGGGAGTTCTTAGGAATCCTAAGGGGTCCCCAGGGAACCTTGAGGAATCCCAGGGGAATCCTAAGGAATCCCTCGGGTGTTCTACGGAATCTTCGGGATCCCTAGGGGATCCTGCGGAATCTTGAGGAATCCTTCAGGAATCCCACGGTATCCTAAGGAATCCTAATGCGTCTCTAAGGAAGCCCTAGGGCGTCCTACCGAATCCTTCGGAATCCTTGGGGGACCTTTCCGAATCCTTAGGAAATCCTGCTGGGATCCTCAGGGAACCATGCGGAATCCCCTAGAATCCTTAGGAATCCTAAGAAGTCCCTAGGGAACCCTTAGGAATCCTTAGTGCATCCTTAGGAATCTCCTGGGTGTTCTACGGAATCTTCGGAATCCCTTGAGGAATCCTTACGGAATCCTGAGGAATCCCTCTGGGGAACCCGACGGAATCCTAAGGCTGAGATGTCTCTGAGAGGCCTCTGAGAGGCTTATGAGAGGCTTCTGTTACTCCTGTACTCCTACCTCCTACCTCCTTGTTCTTCTTCCTTGGGGAAAGAGTGAGACGAGGACGAGGCGGAGGAGGAGGAAGAGAAGGCGGTGGGAGGAGAGATGAAGATAGCTCTCGACGACGACGACGACGGCGATGTCCACGACAATGACGACTATGGGCCGTTTTGGCCTCTCGGGAGCGTACTTGGGACGCTTCCTGGCTACTTGGGGCCGTCTTGGGGCGAGCGTGGAGCCTCTTGTAGACTTGTTGGGGGCTATCTTGAGTCATCGGAGGATGGCGGAGATAATGATGGAGAGGATGAGGAGGAGTATGACGAGCATCTGTACGAAGATGATAAGAATGGGGAGGACAATGCTGAGGATGATTGGGATGACGATGATGCACATACCTATGATGAGTATTCTGATGTTCACAGTGTTGGGTGCGATTGCCCTCCTTGTCCTCCATCCTCCTCCGTCTCCCCTCTGCCTCCTCCTCGATCTCCTCCCCCTATTCTCCCCCCTCTGCCTCCTTCTCGTCCTCCTCCCCCTCCTCTCCCCCCGCTCTCTCCCGTCATCCGTGTCCTGTCCCCTCCAGGGGGAGGGAGGGGGAGTTAATGATGTTAACGATGATGATGGTAATAGTAGTGATGATGATGCTGATGATATTAATGGCGGTATTGGCGATGATCGTTTGGTGGTGACGATGATGATTCTGATGATGGTAATGACGATGGTGATCATTATGATGATGGTGATGACGATGCTGATCATTATGATGATGGTGATGACGAGGCTGATCATTCTGATGATGGTGATGGCGATGATGATCATTATGATGATGGTGATGACGATGATGATATTTATGATGATGGTGCTGACGATGATGCTCATTATGCTGATGGTGATGGCGATGATGATCATTATGCTGATGGTGATGACGATGGTGATGGTATTGATGATGATACACTTCCACTCGGATTCTACTAGGGGTGGGTACACGTCTACTCGGATTCTATTAGGGGTGGGTACACCTCTACTCGGATTCGATTAGGGGTGGATCCGGCTCTTATAGTATTCAATTAGGGGTGGATGCACCTCTGATATGATTTTAGTAGGGGTAGA